TTCTGCTCTATTTCACTTTCATTTTCCCTCTTTCACTTCCGGAACCCACTGGTATCAGAGCCTGATAGGGAAGTAGGAATATATGGCTAGATCTAAACTATCTGTTATTTATCATCTCCGATACAGTGCCTGCCGACACTCTGAAGATCTAAACTATATGGTCGTATAAAAAAGTAAGACTATGTGGTTAATGGTACTGTAAGGGATTTAATGGCAAAAGTTCTAGATTTCGCAGAAATAAAACTCAACTAAGGAACATTGTTGATTGAAATGTGTCAGAGAGTGATATGTGCCTGTGAGGCAAGGATTGAACGTTAGGAGACTGAGGGATTGAATTGCCCTGGATTTAGACTGGATATGATCCTATGTGGATAATTGTTGATAAGATAACTAGGTTAGCACACCTTCCAAATGAAATTATGGGCTTTATAGGTAATATAACCCAACAAGTGAAAATGAATCGGTCAATCAGAGAAAGTTCACAACTGCGCCGTTATATTCCGGATGATCACATATGGTGATACCGGATGATATTGAAATTCTGGAGAACCTGAAAACTCCCATTATAACACCTCGTATATCGTAAATGCATAATTAAATATGAAAATATGGATTAAGGGGTAGGATTAGTGAAAATCCTGAAATTATGGTCAAATTGCATAAAAAGAGCAAAATGGTAATCTACCAAGCACGTAACCCTAGGCAAGAAAAGATTGAATAGAAGGTCTCAAATGGTAAAAATAATGTCGGAAATGGATTCAAAACGAAAAATCGAGTGGATAGGCAAGTTTCGAAAAAATTGATAAATAGTGATTTTACCGGTATAAAATACTACGGTATAATTGTACCGTTAAGCGTGAAAATATGATCAGTATTTTTAGGAAGTAAAAATATGACGTAAACGACAAAAATACGCTGGTTATGAATTTATAGGTTAAATTAGGTGATTTAAGAAAGTTAAATGACGTGTGAGACCTACTTAAGTGACTTAAGTGATTAAAGGGTCAGAAAGATCACAAAAATTAGAATTTCTCTCTCCTCTTCTCCTCTTCCTCCCGTGACCTTTTATCCATTCTTGGGGTTTAAGCTCTTTGAACTACAACTCTCTTTTCTAGCTATTTTTAGGAGAAACTCCCAACTACAAAGTTGTTCCCCTTGAGATTATGAGTGACTTTCATGTTGAGTGCACCTTGTGGGGATCATTGTGGGAGGAGATATACCCCATTTAGAGCCACAAAAATATTGGTATTTTTCGGAAATTTTGGGACTTTTTGTGTTGAACCATTGGTTGGAGATCATTCCCTTGGACCATTAGAAGCTATTGGTGGTAAATTTTCCCATTCTCATTGAGTTTTTCATGAGATCATAAAATTGGTGAGGGTTTTGATTATGTAAGTTGAGTTATGGTAGTTAGAAGCATTAAATGGTATGTCTCCTTTGGAATTAAATGCTTAGAATGATAAATGATGATAGTTGATGTAATAAAAATTATTGTGATTTGGAAATTATAACTTAGGCAATTTTGTGATGGGATTTCAATACTTTGTGAAATTAGTATGTTGTATAATTGTGAAATTGAGTTGGGGAGTAATTGGATGGGTTAATTATAAGATTGTATGATGTGAGGATGTGTGGAATGGGATTGAATACCCCTAGGTTAATGAGCATGAGTAATTCGACCTATGGTGGTCATGGAGGGTTTGATGATGTAAAAATGATATAGTTAATGTTGTATGGTGGTAAATGGTGTTTAAATGGATGATAGTATATTGTGATACAGTGGAATTGGAAGGAAGAATGTGGGATGTATGGTGTATGTGGTAATTCGACCTATAGGGAAGTTAAGGAAAAATAAATGAAAAATAGCCCTTAGCCTAAATGAGTAGGTTTGGGTATTGTATTTTGAAAATGAATTGTTTGCCTTGAAATTGTATCGATGATCATGTTGATTGATTATTATAGGTTTCCTCTCACAGACTCAATAGAGGAGAATTAAGCTTGGAGCTTACGTTGAGGAGCATTATCTTTGGAGTTGAGGTAAACCCTTGGTACTTGGGTTTTATCCTTTGTGTGTTCCACCACACCTAGTGAAAGGTTGTGGTTGGATTTTGTGCTCTTTTACATTGTGTGAAATTGTATGTTCATACATTGTTGCTTGAATTGTGTGATATATTTGTGATCTCTGGCCAGTAGATGTGTGTGGTTTGGACTTCCGCTGGAGATATCCCTTTGGGGGATTTTGGTCAGGTTTTGCCGTGCAGCCGACTCTAGGAGCAGTACCAGGATGATCCAAACGTGAGACTTCCGCTGGATAGGGCTCATGAGGAGTTCCAGTTAGGTTTTACCATGGAGTCGTCTCATCCATGGGAGAGGTACTAAGAAGCTTCTCGAAAGTTATATGTTGGGGTCCTTGAACGAAATCCTTGTATGGATGTTCTTGGATGTGATCCCAGTTAGTTGATTTTGTATGTTATGCATTTTACATTATGTTTTTGTTGCACATTGAGTGAGCCATGGGGTGGAGTAATCCTCTAGTACCCTTGGTTTACTGAGATATATTTGTATATCTCACCCCGCGTTTGGGGACATCATTTCAGGTTATAGTGAGCATGGAGGACCATCAGGCAAGAGGCTCGCTTAGAGGAGGAGTTGGTTCATGATGTGCATATGGAGAACATGTCATTTTGGAGGAGTTTATTTGATGCACATAGTATGACATTTAGCATTTTGGACTTAGATCATGAACATATTGCTTGTTGAGATTTCCATGCTTTTGTGGTGTTCATGACTAGATTCTAAGTCTATGTAGTTGATGTACATTTATGCCTCTTGTTTATATTTGTATTTTGGTGAGCATGGGACTTGTCCATGGCCATATATATTGTGTTTTGAGGCATTTGGAGTTTTATAATGTAAAGTGACCATTTGATTGTTTAAATGGCTTTGGAATTGGGAAATATTCTAATTGATGCATTACATAATGAATATGCATGATGGAAGGGCCTAGAGCCTACATTAGTAATGGTACAGGGGTTATATTAAGTATTAAAGTGATAGGAATGAAACCATGGATCCCTTGTGAAGTGAAAAAGCTATCAAAACTGGTTTTTCACAGTAGGGAATCGATTCCCTGCTGTTGGGAATCGATTCCCTGGAACAGAGCACGTGAATTCAGCCTCTGTGAAGGCTGGGAATCGATTCCTAAGGATGGGAATCGATTCCTAAAAAACAGGGGAGCAAAAATTAAGCTTTTGTGTGTTACTGTAGCTGCTGGGAATCGATTCCTTGAGGTTGGGAATCGATTCCCACTGTGCAAATTTGGAAAATATGTCAGTTTATCACCTAGATTTGATGGTATTACTTGGAGAGGTTATAATTAATGACTTTTATGCTTCTGTGAGTTTTGCATTTACAATTACGGTGTTGCTTTTAATTAATTACAGAAATGGTTATTGTTTAAAGTTAAGGATTTAATAAAAGAAAAGTTTACCCGTAATTTAATTAACTCAATTACTGTGATTGTAACTGCGTTTAATACCATATGCAATGATAACATTTTCGGTACGTAACAAGCTGTTACATTTTATGGTATCAGAGCAGTTTCTGAGGGAACTCTGATTATTGTATGCTTGTGTTCAGTGTTATGTAGTTGTCTATAGACCTTTTATGATGTTGGCATATGTGTAGGATACTTCCAAGGGTCATAGTCCTATAGAGGATAATAATATTCTCTGGGAACGTAATCCACACAGAGAAAACAATAGTCTCATTCTCCGGGCACATAAGCCACACAGAGAAATAATATTAAGTCATATAATGTGCACTCAGTGCATAGGGAAATCTATATTTATAATATATCCGTATATAACGGTAAAATGTGTTTTGTATAAACACATGAGGCTACCTTCATTATAGGAATAATGGTATACTAAACATATTTCGCATATGCATAATTCATTATCACTTCCTGGGTATGTTCCTTTCCACGAATAATCCACACACGAAGTCATACCTATAATTTTACATTAGCTCTTTCGCTAACCACGTAACTTCACACTCTATTGCACATTAGCTCTTCCACTAACCATGCCAATTTTAAAGTCTATTGCACATTAGCTCTTCAACTAACCATGCAAATTTCAATTTCTATTGCACATTAGCTCTTCCACTAACCTTGCAAATTTCAATTTCTATTGCACATTAGCTCTTTCAATAACTATGCAATTTCAAACTCAATAGCACATTAGCTCTTACACTAATAATGCCATGTTTGTTATCAAAAAAAAAAAAAAAATAATGCCATGTTTCAACTCAATAGCACATTAGCTCTTACACTAATCATGACATTCTAAATGCTATTGCACATTAGTTCATACACTAATCATACAATTTCACATTAAATTGTATATTAGCTCTTTTACTAATCCTACAATCTATTTCCCTTAATGGTACCTTAGCTTATTCATTAATCCTAACATTTTCACTTTGTTGTTGTGAAGCAATAAGTCACATTAATTAGACTAACATGAAGTTTATCGATTTTAACATACATTAATTATTTTACAAACATTATATACTTCACGCAAGTATATTCACATAATATACTAGATGAACAATTAGAAAATAAGTATTTCTTCAATTATACCTTTTTACAGTCTGAGGGTTTCCCCCTCTATTCAATGACTATAAGTATATATTTGATTTCCCTCCTGAGGTTATGCAGTCACTTGGACCATTGCAGCTAGCTCCGCCCTAGTAGTACTCTCATTAGCAAAATGGTCTGGCTTGCCATATTTAAAACACACATTTTGTTTATACCAACAGGTGCCTCCGTGGATCTTCCCACATGTATCGCACTTAGACCAAGGAACTTCCCTTTTATCAATAATTTCACTCTTAGGGGCTCTACCCCTCTTGAACCTATCAGCAGATTGCTTCACAAGTAGACCTTTACCCTTATTATTTTTCCAAGAAGAATTAGAACTAGCAGTCTTCTTGATCTAATTATCCTTGATAGCAGTAGATTTAGGATACCTACCATAAACAGTCTCCACTCTCTTGCATTGTGTAACCAGATCAACAAAATTTCTAACTTCAGTATTAGATATACGCTTTGCGATCTTCTCATTCAGTCCCTTTTGAAATTTAGCAGCTAAGAATTCCAAGGTGGGCAGAGTCCCACCATAATTTGCATACTTGACCAATTCATTGAACTTGGCCATATAAGCATCCATAGATAACAAACCTTGAGCTAATCGATCAAACTCACCTTGTTTAGCTTCACGGACATCCCTGGGAAAATATTCCTCTTGAAATAAGTACTCAAATAAGGTCCAAGTAATTTCTTGCCCTTGAATCATAAAAGGTTTAGACGTATTGCACCACCATTCATGGGCATCTCCTTCCAACTTGTATACAAAATACCTCAGCTTCTGAGGATCCTGACATCTCATCAGTTGAAATATTTTATCCATCCCCTGTAACCAAGTAGTGACCACTTTTGGGTCCTTAGACCCCATAAAAGTAGGAGGTTTGTGTTTTTGGAAAGAAATCAGTCTTCTCTTCTCAGCATCTCCTCCACCAAATTGTTCAACAACAACAGTATCCTGACTAGCATCATCAGTGCGATGGCTAGCTCCCCTCTTTCCCTGCTGGGAAATAACATTAGGTTAGGCATAGGAGTCACTATGGCTGTGAGTGAAGGAGAATCAGCTCTCCTATTTATATTTCTCTCTGCTCTCATCTCAGTCATGAAGGTTTGAAGCAAATCTTGATTCACTTTCATTAGATTTTCTGTCATAGTCCTATTTGCAGCCGTCTCGGCATGTAGAGCAGTCAATACTGCCGCTACAGGATCAGGCTGAGGAGGATCTGTATTTGGTGTCTCGCGGTTGCCACAAAGCCTTCTCATGATGACTGCACACGTAACACAAAGGAATGAGTTGATCAGACACATATTAAGTGATCACATATGCCAACATCATAAAAGGTCTATAGACAACTACATAACACTGAACACAAGCATACAATAATCAGAGTTCCCTAAGAAACTGCTCTGATACCATAAAATGTAACAGCCTGTTACGTACCGAAAATGTTTCATTGCATATGTATGGATATAAGATGTGAGACATAATGAGGAGGTATTTTCTGAGGTATGATTTTGAAGCACTATGTGGTGTGCGTCATCGAGAGTGGAGGCATTAGTTTATGTGTTCACAAGTATAGTGATATAATTTCCGGCTTCAAGTGATGTTGTAAAGTTTGTTGGGATTCTCGCCTTATGTGAAAAGAGATAATAACTTGATTAAGTGTTGACAGATTAAGTAAATGTCCTTCTAGGAAGGCTAGTGATGATCGAGATTTTAAGTTAAGACGGTGACCTATTAGCCTTTAATGAAAGGTTAATTATGATGGAGTCAAGTACGAATGTGTAATAATAGCTGGAAACTGGAATTGTATTTGGTTAAATAAAAGGCTGTTAGCTTTGCATTACTGGTAGAGTGACTTTTGGAGTATTGTATATTTGTATATGCAACTTATGATGGAAGATGTGTTGAAACTGCATAATGTTGATGTTGTTTTTGGCTAGGTACTAATGATGTATGGTCATGTGCTTGTAGTAGCCTTGAAAAATTTCGAGAGACTTGTATATCCACCGATGTCGAATTTTAGAAGTAATGACAATGATGGATCTAATTCCATATGACAGGATGAGTAGGTTTTGAAAATCCCTATATGGTGGGACTTGTATGCGAGACATATGATATAATACATTCGAATGGTACATCAATGGTTAAATGTAATGACTATGAAATTGAGGTATACGAAATGAAATATATGTGGACATTATAGCATGAGTATGGAACGATATGTAAACATAGTTATTGGTATGAATCTTAGGCATGTTGCCTTGAATGTGAAAATCATCGATGAATTGTATGTTAAGCATTGAGATGGCTAAGTTGATGTAGAAATGAACAACTAATGTAAATTATAGGTATGACCTTATATGTATAGAATTTCATGAGTGGAATTGTGGTTGAAGGCCTTGAATGGGGATTATTCCCTCTGAGACTGAATCTACCATGAGCGTAAACTATATGATTAAATAGGTGAAATTGCACTGAGGAATTGTTGAGGTTTCGAAACGATGCTTAATGTGGACTAAGATATTTAGAAACTTGGGTTGTATATCAAAGTAATGCTATGTGATTAATGGGACTCTAACGGAAATTGATGGCAGAAGTGCTAGAGTTCGTAGGATTAAAACTCAATTGAAGGATAATTACTGGATGAAATGAGTCAGACAGTTATATGTGTCTGTGAGGCACGGATTGAATTGGACTGGATATGATCCTACGTGGATATTGTTGACAAGCTAACTAGGTGAGTACACTTTCCAAAGAAATTATGGGCTTTATATGTAAGATAACCCAATTAGTGAAAATGAATTGGTCAATCAGAGAAAGTTCGTAACTGCTACCTTACGCTCCGGATGATCACGTGTGGTGATACCGAATGATATTGAAATTCGGGAGAACTTGAAAACTCTCATTGGTCCCATTGAAATACTAGACCGTAGTGGAAAAAGATTGAGAAGCAAAGTAGTTCTGATGTTAAAGATTCAGTGGGAAGGCCGCACACTTGAGGAGGCTACTTGGGAACGGGAGAATGAGATTCTCCGGTTGTATCCTAAGTTAGCGGACATGTATGATTTAATTTTGCGAACAAAATTCCTAAAAGGTGGGGTGAATATAACACCTCGTATTTCGTAAATGCATAATTAAATATGAAAATATGGATTAAGGGGTAGGATTAGTGAAAATCCTGAAATTATGGTCAAATTGCATAAGAAAGGCAAAATAGTAATTTACCAAAAACGTAACCCTAGGCAAGAAAAAATTGAGTAAAAGGTCTCAAATGGTAAAAATAATGTCGGAAATGGATTCAGAATGAAAAATCGAGTGGATAGATAGGCAAGTTTCGAAAAATTTGATGAATAGTGATTTTATCGGTGTAAAATATTGCGGTATAATTGTACCGTTAATCGTGAAAATATGATCAGTATTTTTAGAAAGTAAAAATATGACGTGAACGAGAAAAATATGTAGGTTATGAATTTGTGGGTTAAATTAGGTGATTTAAGAAAGTTAAATGACGTGTGGAACCCATTTAAGTGACTTAAGTGATTAAAGGGTCAAAAACATCACAAAAATTAGAATTTCTCTCTCATCTTCTCCTCTTCCTCCCGTGACCTTTTCTCTATTGTTGGGGTTTAAGATATTTGAACTACAACTCCCTTTTTTAGCCATTTTTAGGAGAAACTCTCAACTACAAAGTTGTTCCCCTTGAGATTGTGAGTGACTTTCATGTAGAGCGCACCTTGTGGGGATCATTGTGAGAGGAGTTATACCCCATTTAAAGCCACGAGAATATTGGTATTTGTGGGAAATTTTGGGACTTTTTGTGTTGGACCATTGGTTGGAGATCATTCCCTTGGACAATTGGAAGCTATTGGTGGTAAGTTTTTCCGTTCTCATTGAGTTTTTCATGAGATCATAAAATTAGTGAGGGTTTTGATTATGTAAGTTGAGTTATGGTAGTTAGAAGCATTAAATGGTATGTCTCCTTTGGAATTAAATGCTTAGAATGATAAATGATGATAGTTGATGTAATAAAAATTATTGTGATTTGGAAATTATAACTTAGGCAATTTTGTGATGGGATTTCAATACTTTGTGAAATTAGTATGTTGTATAATTGTGAAATTGAGTTGAGGAGTAATTGGATGGGTTAATTATAGGATTGTATGATGTGAGGATGTGTGGAATGGGATTGAATACCCCTAGGTTAATGGGCATGAGTAATTCGACCTATGGTGGTCATGGAGGGTTTAATGATTTAAAAATGGTATAGTTAATATTGTATGGTGGTAAATGGTGTTTAAATGGATTATAGTATATTGTGATATAGTGGAATTGGAAGGAAGAATGTGGGATGTATGGTGTATGTGGTAATTCGACCTATAGGGGAGTTAAGGAAAAATAAATGAAAAATAACCCTCGGCCTAAGTGAGTAGGCTTGGGTATTGTACTTTGAAAATGAATTGATTGCCTTGAAATTGTATTGATGATCATGTTGTTTGATCATTATAGGTTTCCTCTCACGGACTCAATAGAGGAGAATTAAGCTTGGAGCTTACGTTGAGGAGTATTATCTTCGAAGTTGAGGTAAACCCTTGGTACATGGGTTTTATCCCTTGTGTGTTCCACCACACCTAGTGGAAGGTTGTGATTGGATTTTGTGCTCTTTTACATTGTGTGAAATTGTATGTTCATACATTGTTGCTTGAATTGTGTGATACATCTGTGATCTCTGGCCAGTAGATGTGTGTGGTTTGGATTTTCGCTGGAGATATCCCTTTGGGGGATTCTGGTCGGGTTTTGCCGTGCAGCCGACTCTAGGAGCTGTACCAGGATGATCCAAACGTGAGACTTCCACTGGATAGGGCTCATGAGGAGTTCCAGTTGGGTTTTGCCATGGGGTCGTCTCATCCATGGGAGAGGCACTAGGAAGCTTCCCGGGAGTTATATGTTGGGGTCCTTGAACGAAATCCTTGTATGGATGTTCTTGGATGTGAGCCCAGTTGGTTGATTTTGTATATTATGCATTTTACATGATGTTTTTGTTGCACATTGAGTGAACCATGGGGTGGAGTAATCCTCTAGTACCCCTAGTTTACTGGGATATATTTGTATATCTCATCTCGCGTTTGGGGACATCATTTCAGGTTAAAGTGAGCATGGAGGACCATCGGGCAAGAGGCCCTCTTAGTGGAGGAGTTGGATCATGATGTGCATATGGAGAGAATGTCATTTTGGAGGAGTTTATTTGATGCACATAATATGACATTTAGCATTTTGGACTTAGATCATGAACATATTGCATGTTGAGATTTCCATGATTTTGTGGTGTTCATGACTAGATTCTAAGTCTATGTAGTTGATGTACATTTATGCCTCTTGTTTATATTTGTATTTTGGTGAGCATGTGACTTGTCCATGGCCACATATATTGTGCTTTGAGGCATTTGGAGTTTTATGATGTAAAGTGACCATTTGATTGTTTAAATGGCTTTGGAATTGGGAAATATTCTAATTGATGCATTACATAATGAATATGCATGATGGAAGGGCCTAGAGCCTACATTAGTAACTGTACATGGGTTATATTAAGTATTAAAGTGATAGGAATGAAACCATGGATCCCTTTTGAAGTGAAAAAGCTGTCAAAACTGGTTTTTCACAGTAGGGAATCGATTCCCTAGAACAGAGCACGTGAATTTCAGCCACTGTGAAGGCTGGGAATCGATTCCTAAAAAACAGGGGAGCAAAAATTAAGCTTCTGTGTGTTACTGTAGCTGTTGGGAATCAATTCCTCGAGGTTGGGAATCGATTCCCACTGTGCAAATTTCGAAAATATGTCATTTTATCATCTAGATTTAATGGTATTGCTTGGAGAGGTTATAATTAATGACTTTTATGCTTCCGTGAGTTTTGCATTTACAAATACGGTGTTGCTTTTAATTAATTACGGAAATGGTTAATGTTTAAAGTTACGAATTTAATAAAAGAAAATGTTTACCCGTAATTTAATTAACTCAAATACTGTGATTGTAACTGCACTTAATACCATATGCAATGATAACATTTCTGGTACGTAACGGGTTGTTACACCCATTGGTCCCATTGAAATACTGGACCACAGTGAAATGAGGCTGAGAAGCAAGATAATTGCAATGTTAAAGATTCAGTGAGAATGTCATACACCTTAGGAGGCTACTTTGGAACGGGAGGATGAGATTCTCCGGCTGTATCCTAAGTTAGCGGACATATATGATTTTGTAAGAACCT